GAATGCCTACACATACCAACATGGAGATATCTCTAACACCTGACAGGTAAATAAAGCAAGATGCAGAAGGGTACTGAAGAGTATAAACCGGTGCATAAATTAACAAACAGAAAGTAGCACATTTTGTAAACATACATGTAAGTGCATACAGAAATATGCATGTGTGTATCTTTCTTCACAGACTGTATGTATCTGCCCACCCTGGGGAGTGCTGTGGTCTTTAACGATGCTGGTTAAAACTGCTGTGGCACAATCCTCTTGTCCAAATAAAACTTATTAACAAGATCTATATGAAGATTATATATATATATATATATATATATATATATATATATATATATAAACCTTTGACTGTTTTCTAGATATCTGCAAATAAATGCAATGTGTGACCTGTAAAAAACTGGAAATGGAACTATCTTATGACCCAGTAGTTCCACTCTTAGGTATCTATCCAGAGAAATCCAAAACGCTAATTTGAAAAAATATATGCACCCTTATGTTTACTGCAGTGCTACTCACAATAGCCAAGACATGGAAACCACCGAAATGCCTATCGATAGACAATTGGATAAAGAAATTGTGGTACATTTACACAATGGAGTATTACTCTGCCATAAAAAAGAATGAAATCTCACCATTTCCAACAACATGGATGGACCTAGAGAACATTATGCTAAGTGAAATATGTCAGACAGAGAAAGACAAATACCATATGATCTCACTTATATGTGGAATCTAAAGAACTGAATAAATGAGCAAAGTGAAACAAAACAAAACAAAAACAAACAAAAAAGGCAAACCAAAACATGGAATTGCAAATTGGTGCAGCCACTATGGAAAATAGTATGCAGGTTGCTCAAAAAGTTAAAATTCGAGCTACATTATGACCCAGCAATTCCACTCCTGGATATTTATCTGAAGAAACCCAAAACTCTAATTTGAAAAGATGCATATGCACCCGTATGTTCACTGCAGTGCGATTCACAACAGCCAAGATATGAAAACCACCTAAGTGTCCATCAGTGGCTGGTTGGATAAAGAATTATGGCACATTTACATAATGGAACATTACTCTTGCCATAAAAAAGAATGAAATATTATCATTTGTAACAACATGGATGGACCTAGAGGGTACTGTGCTGACTAGACTAACTCAGACAGAGAAAGACAAATGCCATGTGATGTCACTTATATGTGGAATCCAAAGAACAAAATAAATGAACAAGCAAAACAGAAACGGGCCCATAGACACAGAGAACAAACAGATGGGAGGTCATGGGAGGCTGGGTGAGAAAGGCGAAGGGAGTGGGAAATACAAATTGATGGTTACAGGAGTCACGGGATGTAAAGTACAGCATAGGGAATACAGTCAATAGTGTTGTAATAACTATGTAGGGTATCAGATGGGTACTACACTAATGGGGGGATCACTACATAAATCATAAATTATATAAATGTCTAACCACTATGCTGTACACCCGAAACTTATATAAAATAACACTGAATGTTAACCATAATTTAAAAAAAAATAGTTAAAAGGATGTGTAATGCAGCATGGGGGATATAGTCCATATGTTCTAATAACTATGTACGGTGTTGGATGGGTAGTAGACTTGTTGCGGTTATCACTTTGTGAGTTACGTAAATATCTAATCGCTATGTTGTACTATATACCTGAAACTAATAACAAAAGCAAAACAGAAACAAATATATATGTATGCATATGCATATACTTATACATATGCATATGATTTGCATATGTATATCATAAAATTTTTAAAAGGAGCCGGTTACCAGCCTTGGCCACCAGCACTGCCATGGGGTGAAGGCAGCTGCTAAGGTGGCTGTTTGCAAGTGTGAGTGTGGCTGGGAGGAGGACAGGTGATCAGAGACAGCAGAGGAAGCCAGGCAGAGACACAGGGAGAGAGACCTAAGCAAGTGAACTGATGGACGCACACTGAACTCAGGCTAATGGCTGCCTACGGAAACAGGTGCGCATGGGCCTGGGGTGACAGCGAAAGCTGATTTAGTTTCATCAGTACTATTTTCTCTCTTTATCCTGGGAATAAAACATTAGAAGCAAATATAAAACCAAACAGCAACAGTTCCTTATCCTGAGTGATGGAAATATGGATATTTACTATATTAACCTTTGTATTTTTCTGTTTTTTTTAAATCTCTCAGAAAGCAGTGAAATTCTTCATAAGACTTCCTCCTGTCTGCACACTGAGCTCCAGGCCCTCAGACACGGGTGGAGGAGATTCTTTATGAGTTTCCCCATCGTCTTTACCCTACTCCCCACGCCCAGACACCTCAGATTTCCAAATCAGCCCTAATCAGCCCATTATTGACCTTACAGCTGTGCCCTTTTATGAGTAAAAATAAAGTCATTCATTTCTGAGTTCAATAAGCATTTGCCAAACACAGTACAAAGTTTCAGGCATCCTGGGCGAGAGACGCGTGGCTTCTACAAGCCGTCCCTGGTGTAGCAGGACAGACAGGTGACAGGTGAGCAAAGCAAAGACAAACGCACTGGGATGAGTGTAGAATAAAAGCATTTTTACTAAATAGTGTGTGGGACTGAAGAGGGCACGATTGAGTCTTGAGAGAGCAGCGCTTCATGGAAGGACAGTCGAGAAGCCTGATGAGGCGTCAATCTTTCTACAACCACGGACCCCCTTAGATATGCCAGTTACACGCAGATCGCAGCAGGCACAGCACCCCGGTGTGGTAGGGAACAGGAGTCCCACTTGAAGTGAAGGAAACAGGGGCTGCGAGAAGTTAAGTCACTTCGCTGAAAACTAAGAGCAATGAAGTGGCGTCACAGATCTAACCCAGATTTGAAAGTTCAAAGCCGAGGATGAGCGGATAGGCACAGATGGGAGCTCGCCGGAGTCAGAGCTGGGGGACCTCTGGTCCCCGCATTTTCATTCTCTTCCCTGCACTGGGATACCCGCTGGCTATAAGAGATGAAGGGTGTATGCAGACTGGGGCATCTGCTTGTTCATCCTAGAATGAGACCTCAACACAATCGGGCATCATAAAGATCAGAGACGCAGGCTCAGTCCTAAGCAAGGTCAGCCTTGAACACACTGCGTCATCCTCTTCCCAACTCTAGCCTGACTTCTTTAAGGCCTGACACGAGAAGGGATACTTCGCTTCCACCTATGAGGTTGGGTCCTCCTGGCCCAACCAGGGCCAAGGAAGCAGCTCAGCCTGGAAGAGGGCAGCAGAGGCGGGGAGAGACTCCGACAGGACCGCTGAGGGAAGGCGCCGCCCTGGGTGCTGCCTGACCCATCCGTCATGGGGACACACTGTTCCAGAAACCGGATGACAATTATTGGGAAAAATCTGCTCTCTCAGTGCTGCCAAGCATGTCACAGGGGCTCAGTTGGTGGCGCCTCCTCACGGGGCGGCCAGTAAAGCCCCATTCTTCCCTTAGCTGAGGTCCTGATGTTTTCTCAGGTGGAAGGAGGAAGACGTAGGAAGGCCCCATGGAAGGAAACTCCCACAAGCAACAGTGCCAGTCCTCAAGCCAGGAGCCCGAGGATTATGCTGAGATTGAAGGCTCAGGGCTGGCTTGGGGGTCATTTGTCTTTTAGCCTGCGAAGCCCTGTTTGGCACAGGGGTGTATAGGCAGATAAAACACCTCCAAACAAGGTGCCTGCAGCGCTCTGATCTTGTTTAAGTCACCTGGCATCAGGCCAGACCTCGATCCCCTCTTTATCATTTGCCTGCACACGGATTTCTCTTGGTCACCATATTTCATATGATCCAAGAACACCTGGTTGCCATGCTGTGACTTGTTCAGCTGAGTCAGGAGCAGAGAGAGAGAGAGAGAGAGCACAGAAGCCCCGGCTTTTGGGAAGCCACGCAGCCCGCCCCACATTTTCTGCCCTCCTGTTCTTCTATCGATGTCTCTTGCTATATTTCAGTGTTCTAAGCTTTCAAGGGAGTCACAGAATCTTCTGGGAATATAATAAAAGCTACGACTAGTTCCATCCCAAATGCCCCCACTCTGCCCTGCCTCGTACAAACACTCAAACATGTGCGTTTCCATTCAGGGACCACTACCCCGGTGAACCTCATGCACACATGCACTCTCCTTCAGTCGCTGAGCCCCAAGGTCAGGACACTCACCATAGATGCCAACTCAGTGCAGAAGCCATAGCAACTCATCAGTCCCATAGATGACCCTGACCTCACGGCTTATTAAACCTCTCATCATCCCGGCCTACCCATCTCCTATCTAACATCAGCTAGAAATGGAAACCCAGTTGGAAAGCATACCTGGAAATTCAAATTTCTGTCTGGGAACTGGTACCCAGCCCCCCTTGAACCTGGGATGGGGCAGATGGACGCGAATTCACCACTTACCCCCTTTCGTGCCGCCCCTCCTACCCGAGCTGTGGTGGAGAACCGCATCCTACCCCACCCCGGCCATAATGGGCTTGGGTACTCTGTGTCTTGGAAGCTAGCCAGCAGATTTAGCAATCGTGTTGCTCTTGGCATCGTTCAGGAACTCTGTAGAGCTACGTGCTGAGAAACCATTGCCTGGGCAACTTTTCAATGCCGGAGTCCCCCCCTACATCTGGCTATGCTAATACCTTGTCGTCACAACTCCACGGATGGGTGCAGCGAGGAAAAAAACCAAGTTACTCAAACAAGGAGTCCCTTTACCCACCAACAATGAAAAGAGACCGAAGTCCTCTTCATTTGCCCACAAATCCAACTTCCTTCCCAAATTATCCTCATTGCACCAGCTCAGGTAAGTGGTGTTTGCAGCAGTCACAAACCAGGCGACTGACAGTTTGGTCCCCAGATACCTACACGGCGTTCAATCCATTATTACCAATAATAAAGGTACGGACAGGAGAAGAATCCCTTCAGCAGAATACCTAGACCCTCTCAGAGAGCCAATGGCAATGCAAACTGCATCTTGTGATGAAAGGGGGCCATGTCTCCCCCAGGAGATGTTTGCCAATGAAAATCACACTTACCCTTCATGCCAAATTTGGACCGACGACCGTACTTGTTGATCATGATAAAGAGAACCACCAACAAGACGCAGGCAAAAGCAGCAAGTCCGACGGCGATGGATACCTATGAGGAGATAAAACAGAGTCAGGACGATCGCAGACCACCCGGTTGGCCTACAGAATAACACGGCGGCCCAAGCGAAAACAGTCCCACCGCAGCAGCCGTGCGGCCCGCTCAGAACCCTGCCACCGAGGCATGTTTTTAGAAGTAATTTAGGGAAACCTAAGAACATCAAACTAATAAACTAGCCAACTTGATTTTAGGAAGGTCCACGCCTCAGTGTTCTGAGCCTCTCTCATCTGGGGGCCAGCCTAAGGGATGCAAGAGAAAGCCTAGCGAGGCCTCCGTCTCGTTTTGTTGTTTTAATCAGCGAGCAAATTCTGCCCATTTGCATTGAAATTCTTCACATAATATTCTTATCCAGGAAATGCTAGGAGATCTGGATTCTAAAAAGACCCCTTTCGTCTCCTCTCCCGAGGAACCTCAGGCTCTGACAGTCAAGCGGGGGGCGAAAAACCCACCCAGGGAGATGCTCGGGGTAGCTCTGACTTCTGGAAAAGGCTGGTGCAGTGAGCAGCCCTTTTAGATCAGGTCCAGCCAGGTTCCTAAGAGAGCGGGGATTTTCAAACCGTTCTCTTCCGAGCCCCAGGGCTTGGAGCAGATCCTCAAAGACTTCCTCAAACAATGAATTATTCTCATCAAACAAGGAAGGTTTCATCCGCCTGAAAGGAGGTCATTCATCACAGCTTCTTTCTGCCAGAAATGCTGGGGCTCCAAGTAAGGTAATATTTGGGAAAGTCAGCTACCCAAATGAAGCCTGAAAACGACCTCCTCTTAACCAAGAAGCGACTCACCCCAAAAGTGTCTTCCTCTGGTTTGTGGGTCACAGTGATAGGAGGTGTGGGGCTCACTTCATAGACTGAAAATCGAACAGAAGAGAAGGGGTTAGCTTACTGTCCAGGAGAGGCTCTGGGTGAGACCCTGCCCCACTCCCAAGCCCCCCATGAGGGATCTTGTTGGAGAGCACCCCCACCCCAAGCCAGACTCTTACTTACTGCCTGACCTCCCCAAGCTTTGCAGGGGCCCCCGGAGGCCAGGTCCCCTGTATGGCCACCTGGTTGGTGCTGACAGCTCAAAGGCAGGCTCCATGAGGAATAAGGGACCTTCACTCCCATCCCCCCAACATCATCCCATAAGCTATTGCATTAAAACAAAAAAACGGCTTGGGATCCCAGCCAGGGCCTGGATTCGGCACATTTTATCAATGATGGCAGCTGTTGCTGACATTTGGCAATTCTCTGTTTGTGGTAGGTACTCCTTTCTGGCCCCTGGCTCTCTCTCTCTCTCTCTCTCTCTCTCCATGCCCTTCGTCTTCCCCTCTGCACTCCTCAGTGACATCCAGGAGGCCGGTGGCCCCAAAAACAGCCCGCTGTCTGCTCCCCTAATGCAGATTTCAGAACACAGTGGCAGCTCGAGTTAAGACCAGGAAACATCACCTCTTCCCAGCAAGGCTGGCTGGGGAGCCAGGTATCAGTTTGTCTTCCATCTAGAATCGAGAGATGTCTCTGAAGGGACATTCTCTGAGATGGCAAGTCCTCTAAGACCGAGGACAAATGAAGAATCACAGATACTGTTTACGGCAGTGCCAAACAGCATGGGGTGTCCTAAACAGGGCTGTCTGCTACCTCAGACCACATGGGGCAAAAATAGTGAGGACTACTGCTGTTATTCTCCCCGGGGGGAGAAAGGGAAAAGGAATAAATATGGGTTTCCCCACAGCCCGTGAGAAAAACACCAAATCCTTTCGGGATTGTCTAATCCTAGCCCCATATTACCTATAAGCTACACCTCAATAATCCCATTTGAGGATGCACCAGCCTATCAGGAGACCTTGTCAATCACAGCACTACAGGAGGTGTGTCCTGGCCACATCTGGGGCCCTCGAAGCAGGTGAGAAACATTAACGGTTAGAGGTGTCATGTTCCCTCCGCAGGAACAACCAAGGTGATCGGCAGGGGTCTGTCTACCGGGGCACTGGCAACCTCAAGTCCTTCCTGACACCACCCCTTTCCAGCAGGAGACCCACAACATGGGCAGGCCTTAGGAAACGCCCTGGGGGAAACTGAGGCACAGAGCAGCTGCCCAAGAAGTGTTTCTACTCTCCAGCTCCCTTTCACAGTCACTCAGATGTTCCCAGCTGCCATGGCTCTGGGGATGGTGATGGGCTAGGAAAGAGGACTCTGGACTCAGTAGTTACCAAAAGCATTAGAATAAATCAGCTTCCAAGCAAAAGGTAGGGCAGACTTACTAGAGACAAAGTTATCCGTGCTCTCTGCAAAAAAGACAAAGATGTAATTAGCAAACGTAATAAAAAGTAGAACAGGTGCACTATGGTCTTAATAGCAATGACCTCCCCCACTCACCATAATCCCACGTTACCCCAGCAACTGAAAACTAAAATCCCTGGCATATCGCCCTTCCCCACCCCCACACCCCCACCTCTTCAGGAGGTGATCTTCCACAGGAGAAGGAGGAAGAGATGAAGTTCCCAACATCAAGGCAGGCGGCCCAGCCCACCTGGGGTCTAGAGACCAAACTACCAGATCGGGAAGTAAATCTAAGACACAACGTCTCAGTCCTCCCCACTTCGGGTACCCAGAGTGCTGGGGACGTTGGCGGTACATCAGAGCCAAAAAGAAACACTGCAGGGTGGGCTTCCCTGGACTGTTCTTGAAAATGCCAGCTCTGATCTCAAGACAAAATTCCTCAACTCAATGTATAGTTTAGTCTAGTAGGTCATTGAGACATCCTTGGAAATCCCTCTAGAATCTGCCCATCCCCCAGGTGAAATGACATTATTTGCCCTTGGTCTTCCAGCAAAGGCTCGCCTACTATTGAGAGCTCATCATGACTAGACTTTAATTATAAACCAGGGGCTGTGCTACACGCTTTCTGTAACATATCACTCAATCCTGATGACCATCCAAGGAGGTAAGTGGCATGGACCCTGTTTAACAAATAAAGAAACAGGCCTATAGAGATTATGTAGCTAATGGAATCTCGCTCATCTAACCAGGGACAGAGCTGGGTTCAAATCCGAGTCTGGGCTCTTCACCACTCTACCAGAGAGTCTCAGACTTCAGTGAGCAACCGAATCACTGGAGGACGGTCACTATCATTCATCAATGATGGAAATGAGGGCTCCTTGGAGAAGCACATAGTTCCAGAGCTGGGGCAGAGAAAGAACAAGATGTGCCCGGAACATTCTGTGGTACTAGAAAGTAAGAAAATGCTCACAAATTAATGGGGGCAAGGAGAAAGGACATAGGAGCCAACGTGGAGGGGTTTCCAATGGCCGAATCTGGGACAATTTGAGCAACCAAATCAGTAACAACAGTCATCGATTGTTATAGGCTAAATTATCTCTGCCCAAAATTGATGTGTTGAAGTCATAACCCCCAGTACATCGGAACATGACTGCATTTGAAGATAGTCTTTAAAAAGGTAGTTAAATTAAAATGAGGTCATTAGGGCGGGCACTGATCCAATAGGACTGGTGTCCTTATAAGAAGAGGAGATTTGGACACAGACACAGACATGCACAGAGGGAAGAGGATGTGAAGACACAGGGAGAAGAGCCTCTGCAAGCCAAGGAGAGAGGCCTCAGAAGGAACCAGCCCTGCCGACACCCTGATCTCCGACTTCCAGGTCCTGCAATTGTGAGGAAATACATGTCTGTAGTTTAAGCTGTCCTGTCTCTGGTTCGTCCTTACAGCAACCCTAGCAAATTAATACATGGATTATGAGCTGTAGGACAAAATGAATATCCATGAGTCCAGGCGGATATAAAATAAATAACTGAATAAATAGAGAAGAAGAGAAAGCTATTCCTTATAGTGGGTTGTCGCAAAAGCCACAACAAATTTTTGCAATGAAAAACATAGAAAAAATACGTCATGACTTTTCCAACAACCCAGTAGAATTCCAATTAATAAATGTAGAAAGAATGATGGAGAAAGAAAAAAATCACCACTTGACACATACCACAACAGTAACTGGCAAGGACCATCAATAAATGTTAAAATGGATGCGTGAAAGAATGAAGAGAAACAGGATATTTACAAACTTTCAAAATACCGTACTTTATAATTACAATGGGAAAACCAGTCCCTTTGCAATGGAGACACCTGGCTGACACCATCTCAGCCACATGATGGAGTTAACATCGCCAGTCATGAGATGGGACAGCCGTCACTGGACCCCTCATGTGACTGACGGGCTGAACGGGCAGAGCATCACTTCGGTGATGGTCTTGCCAAAAATGTTGACATTTAGTTATGAGAAAACATCAGGCAAACCCAACTTGTGGGATGGTCTAGAAAATAACTCATGAGTATTCTTCAAAAGTGCACAGATCGTGAAAGGCAAAGACTGAGGGTTGTCCCAGATTTAAAGAGAATAAGGTGACATGGTAACTAAGTGCCATGTGCAGTCCTGGGTTGGAACCTCAGGAAGCAAAAGACAGATGCAGGGGCTACTGATAAGGCTTAAATAAAGTCTGTAGATTCGATAACAGTGCCATTGGTAATATCCTGTTTTGGACCACTGTTCTGTGGTTGTGTAAGATGGTAACACTTGGGAAAGCAGGATGAAGGATATGAGGAAGTTCTCTGCATTAGTCCTTAACTTCTTTTGGTAAACTTCAAATTATTTCAAACAGAAAAATTAAAAACCTTTTTTAAAATTTCTTTAAAGAAACATAGATTATTGGTCCTTTCCCCAGAGTTTCTGATTCAGGAGGGCTAGGGTGGGTCTTAAGAATGTGTCCCTTTGAGAACCACTGCATTGTACCACACGTCCTCCTGCCACAAGCCTGACACACCCTGAAAGATAAGAACAACTCTTTCATTCTTTCATCCATCCATTCATCCATCCATCCATCCATCATCCATCCATCCATCATCCATCCATCC